CAAATCTGGGATGGTTCACTGGTCCTTCGCTACAACCTCGCCTAGTGATCATTCGCTTCAAGTTTGCCCAACGAACTTATAGTCCTTTTCTTTCTGCCTTTAATTTGAGAGGGTTCGCTAGTTGCTCGCAACGAACATTCGTTATTGGTCCTCGCCAGTTGTTCGCCCAGCGGACATGCTAAAACTTCACATTTTCTTTGGCTTCCTTGTCAAATTACTTGTGTCTTACACTTTGATGTTTTATGCCTAAATCCTGCACAATAACATACAAATCAAAGCAACTAAAGGTATATGCAACATATTTGAAGAATAGCATGAAAACATGGGACATATCCAACAAATCATAACAATTGAGATGAAAAATAATAAATATGGATCAAATTAAAGCATATTTGGTATTCAACATACATGAGGTGTGAGATTGATGAAGCAGAATGAAGGAAGGAAGTATAGATTTTGATTCAAGAACTGTAACCACTCATACTAATTCTCTTAGGGGAGAATAAGTGAAGGCGTCTACTAAGACAAGGATTATGAAGGAACTTCAATGGAAAAGGTTGGGAAAGGATCCCAAAACGCTCAACTTCTCCTACTTTTAGGGAAAAGGCAAAAGAATGAATCACACCAACTAGAGAAAGAAGTCACATAATTAACAACTAGATTTCTCCTCAAGGATACATGTAAACTCGAGTGCACTATAAACTGCACCACGCCCTATCTAGTCACATCACCACACATGTCAAAAGAAGACTATGAAACGCTTCAATAATGGAATTGGAATTAATGCACTTGTTCCCTATTACTCTTTTCAACTGATTGTATGACTTTCGATTCTATTACACATCGAACCATATCTTGGAGGCCGACCAACATTACTTAAGGCTTTCCTCCGCTCCTTCAATGCCCAACAAAGCCTTTGGGGTAACTGTTCTGAGCCGGCCAAAGGCCCAAATGATCAAGGCCTCATGTAACACCCTTCTAAACCCCGCAGAATATATATAAGCAATCAGAGTAAATTATCATGCATCTCAAATAAGGGTGTCACATATAATTCAAATCATCACACATATACTTGTCATGCTCAATAACACTTAAAATAAGTTATTGTTTTTCACATACTTTCACATATCATGTAGCAGCAAAATTATTTCAATCATAAATTAACATAATGAAAGTCCCATGATCAAATCATTCATAATCATCACTTAGGCATAAAAGTCGATACTCCACATAATTCAAATAATAATAACAAAATAAAGTAGAGTACACAAAATATCTCTCAAAACATGAATCAAAATGTTCTCAGTGTTACATGATCAGAGCACGACTCAACCCAAAATAAATAGAGAAACTAAAACAAGTTACTTCAACGGTTATCTCGTGCTAGAAGCAACTCTACTCCTCGGTACCTGAGGGATGTCATACAAAACATCATTCCAACAGAAGGGTGATAATTCACATAATTATCGAAATCATAAGATAATATATAATTTATGGCATACAAACATAACATAATTATTCTCACACTCCAAAAGCTTCACCAACATATTATTACTCAAGTGACCATAATATTCACAAGTACATACTCATAATCCCATAATTCATCAATTCATCAATTTCACATATTTCGCATAATCTCATATTGCAAACATATACATGATGTGACTCAATGCAAGACTCTAATGCAACTCATGCATGTGGTATCAATCACTTGTTATTATTTTTCGGTTTTTATATTAAACCGGGTCCATTCCCTAGACCAATAACACACAAAAAGCCCATTTTCTAAGCTTTCAAACCCCGCTCTAGGTTTGGAACAAGTCACTAGTTCTCACGGAACTAACAAGCATTGCCACTTGACAACAAATGATGCATATGCAAGTTCAACAACCATATGCAATTAGGACCATTCTCTAATCTTAACATTAATGCATATCTTCAATAATTCATCACACTTGAATTACCACACAATTACACATACTTGCACATTTTTATGAATCATCCATACACAATTCAATTTCAAATGGTATACAACATATTTTGCAATACAATCACAATTGTATTATCATTACGACAAGCAATAATTATCATGCATTTCATATTGTCACACCCAAATATACTTATACAAGCACACACACAAGTATTCGATAAATTATCCACAAATAATTTCACAACCGACAGCAAACAGCACAACAATCTATTAATATAACATATACACAATTAGCTCCCCAAGCATATTAGATATAAAAATATTGTGCAACTAATTCTCTTATCTGTACTATGTTATAGCTCTATTCATTATATTTCCAACACTTCGAATGGGGACCAAAACGGACTTAAGGATCAAAAGTTATGACCAAAACAATTTCAACCGAAAACATGAACAGTCGTGACGGACAACATGCAGAACTTTCTGCGTTTTTCACCGTTGAAGGCCTTTCTGACCTCCGATTTCGATTCCGTAAAAACTCAAACTCTCTAAAAATTACAACTCATCCAATACTGTAATTATCTCAAGTAAATTTACAAATTTAACACAATTAAACCATCTAATCATTATTTTAAGATTATGCCTAAAACCTTTGAAATTGATGGATATAGGTTCAATCCTTAAAATAAGAAAAAAATACACACGTATAAGGCACACAAACTCATCATATAATCATCATATAACAACCACCATGAAAATTAAGGATTTTTATCATAAATGTGCTACTATCCACCATACATTATCATACAATCCCATAATCATGGAAAGACTCATCCTTACCTTGATTCCTTGGATTCTAGAGCTCTTGCTCTTGGGGTTTTCTCCTCCTCTTCTCCACTTCTCTCTTTGCCTCTTTTCCTCTTTTCTATCTTTCTAACCATATTCTCTCTTTCTCTTATTTTATCAAATCTCACAATTTATCATTATTCTAATGGGCTTACTTAACCCACTCTCCCACTTATTATTCACACTCCTAATCTAGGACCAATTACTTCTTTCTACCATTTTCATATATTATTCCACCAAATAAAATAAATCAATTAAATCAAATAATTCAATTAAATCAATTATGTGCAAAATCACTCAATTAATATATATTACTAAAATTGAGGTGTTACAAATCATTTATCTCAAATTTATTCCACTTGACCCAAAATATAAAGTTAGTTTAAATGCTAAGAGCAAGGTACATTCTCTGATTTTAACTTTTCACTACACTCATTTTAAATTTCATACTGACTTTGACGTTAGAGTGCTAACTATGCACTATTACCACTTTAAAATCATTAATTTTTCAACTAAATCTATTTTTGATTCTTGAATAGAACAATAAATTTTAATATTCAATTGACTTTAGTAACTACTAATGAATGGAAGTTTTATACTCTCTTTTGTATTATAATGAATTTGTTGGACCAAAATAGAAACAAATTAATTTTTTCAAGGACTTTCCTTTATCCTGAGCAATTTTTTTTAGTAATCTTCAGAGGTACCTACATTATGTTAACCATCATCTTTTCCTATATCTATCCTCTTATGTTGAGCAAATGTCGCATAAAAACAATGTAAAATGGAAGCCTCCTCCTATTAAAATTTAGAAACTCAATATTTACGGGTCGTTATTTAGTAAGACAATATTAAAAATGATCGGTCCTGACTTTTTAAAGGTTAAAGACTAATAATAAAAATGAACTTATAGTAAAAAAAAACTGGACAATTAACCTTGAATTTCGGTCATTTGATAATTTTAAAAAAATTTAATTATGGAAATTAATATTATTTAAATTTTACATTGAATGTTAATGATTAAGAAATGATTCTATATAAATATAAAAATACATTGTGGTTAATTTGATTATTTTTTTCAAAGACTTATAATCCTCTCTCGTTTTTACAATAGGTGTTTTCTTTGAGATTTTCACTCTTTTTAATGTAATGATTAATTATTTTGATTTCAATGATAAAACAAATATTATTTACTAAAATAAATTTATTAATAATAGGTAATCGAATAGTTACATGATTTAAAATATAATAAATAAGAATAAATTAATGAAAACAAATAATAAATATCACATTGATATTTTAAAGGAGCAATAATTTTAGACAAATAAAAATAAAAAAGATGACATCTATGGTATAATGGAGAGACTACCTACTCCCTTTTTTGAAGCATTATTTTTCATGAATCAAACAAATTAAAAATGTGAGATCAAATATATTTATCAAGAAAGAAATCGTTGTGCCAATTGCTTTGCAAATATCAGTCAGAATGATGAGTTTAGTTTGTATAGATACATTTTTCCATCGTGTAATTTCTTAGTTGTCATTTTTAAATTTTATTTTAATAAAAAAAATACAACTAAATAAGATAACGAATAATTTAGGTAATAAAATCCATTTTTTAATAAATAATGATAAATTTATATAACCAATTATTATAAGTGTGTATGTGTAAGTACTTAGTTTTATTTATACTTTACTATGGTTGGATTAATTCATATTTATGTATTTTTAATAATAATAATAATAATAATAATAATAATAATAATAATAATAATAATAATAATAATAATAATAATAATAATAATAATAATAATAATAATAATAAAATAAGAGAAATTTTTGTATAAATAATTTAAACTCCAAATTTTTTAATTACATGTGTCCGTTCATAGAAAGCTTTTACCTCTTCTATTGGAAGAATAAGTCTTTAAATTATTATAAATAAATAAAATAATTTTTTTAATCGAAATCCCCGATTTTTTGCAACAAGAATACCTTTTCCTTCGCCCTCTAATACTATGTGTCAATTAATAAATGAAACCAAATTTTACCTTTTTCTATTGAATAATTCTTCCCTTATACCCGCAAACATTTCCCACACTTATCGACTTTCTTTTGTTACAAAAGCTGCTTTTAAGTGATTCACAAACTTGGGAAAACACTTCTATAAATCAAAATAGATTGAACCTATCGATCTTTAGAATTATTATTATTTCACTTCTCTATGGCTACTCTTCTACGTAAGTTGAATTTGTGTACTTCAACCAAGGTAAGAATTTTGGTAGATGAAGTGAGAAACAAGGTTTTATTTCTCCAAGCAGGGAAAGACTTTGTTGATGTGTTACTAAGTTTCTTAACATTGCCATTAGGCACCATTGCAAGGCTTGTGAGCCAAGAATCCAACATGGAGAATGTTAATGTTGGAAGCATAAACTTTTTATATGAAAGTGTGGCCAATCTTGACAAAGGGAATTTCTTATCGGCTTTGGAAAAAGAGCTATTGGTTCGACCTATTAACTCAATGGAGCAGTATTGCCGGTTTCTAAAACTCAATGTCGACGACACGGAAAAGTCGAGGTCTTTTAAATGTCGTCATAGACACTGTGAGGGTGTACCGGGGAGTCGAAACTGCAGCTGCTTCATAGATAGGAGAGATGAGTTATGCAGCGTGATTTCAACTCCAAAAAAAGGTTTTGTTCCTAAAACAGCAACTTTTATTGTTTCAGATGATTTGAGTGTGAAGCCTGATAACTCTCAAGGTCCGATTTCTATAGCTAAGTATCTTGGATGTGAAGATGTAGATACCATCAAGATATTAACCATCAACGTCACTCGAAAAGAGGTATTAAACCGTCAATGTCCAATTTGTACATTGCTTGTTACTAAAGTTATCTAAATTTCACTTGTTTTTGTAGATAATTGATCTGGTGAAGTGCTCCTTGGTGTCTGCAACACCTTTGACAGACGTATTCGTGTCGAAGAAGCTGTTTTGTGAGAATCCAAGACCCGTCAATGTATTGGATTTAGATGTTTGTAGAAATGGGGCACTACTTGTAAGGAGGAAAATAAAAGTAAAGGCAATGGTAAGAAAATCCAATAGCAAAATATTGTATGCTTTGGGGGAAGAGGATTTTGCAGACTTGTTAATGTTGTTTTTGACATTCCCTTTGGGTGGAGTTGAGAACATGTTAAATGGAAACTCTGGTTTTGACAACATAGATAATTTATTCAAGAGTATGCTTGATTTGGATCCTGCAAGGTATATGAAATCCAGACAAGATATGGTGTCTAAGCAACTCAAAACTAACTTTGATGGAAAAAAATTTATGAAGAGTCCTTCAATGTATATGGTAACAGATGATTTAGTCGTCAAGCCAGGTTCTTCAACCTCTGCTATTTCGTTTCTCACCAATATGAAAATTCCTCTCTCTGATTTAGAAGAAAGACTTATTAGAATTGGCAATAAAGAGGTAAAGTGTGTGGTTATCAATTAAATTTCTTTTATTTCAATCAAGTTGATTGTACTATATAAAAATGTTTGATTATATGTTACATTTATTTGATTTTTTGTGTGGAAGTGCAGGCTCATAGTCTTCTGAAAGCTTCTTTGATCTCACCAACAGCTCTCACTCATGGTCTTGGTCCATTTCTTGCGACCAAATAAAGCTAAACCATTGAGATAATGATGGTTCTCTGTGTCAGTTTCGTATTTTTAATGTCAAGGATGCTGCAATAATTAGCTTGTTTGTTTTATGCCAATGATAGTACATTTTAGTAGCTTATTATGAAGAATACATTTTGTCCCCAATAGAAAAATTATAGCTATATTTTGTTTTGAAGCTAGTCAGTTCTTGTAGATCTGCATTTTTTGTAGATTTGCTTCAGCATTTTTTTCCTTCGTTTTTTGTAGACCTACACTTATGTTATCAATTGATATCAGTTTCAGTTTTTTCCCTTAAACTCTACTATTCTTTCCTGAGTTTTGAGCAGCATTTTATTGTTTAGCAAAACTGCTAGACTAATCACTTCAATCCAAAATCCATCAATAATAACTGTCATTAAGACAAAAACACACACAAGAAAAATCTTCCAAATGTAAAAAATTTATTCATGTATGCATAAATAACCAGCACTGAAAAATCAGAGATGAAACAAAGCAAACACAAAGGACATAGAACTGATTTAACGGAGCTGATTTAAGGGAACACCAAAATCAATCCTGATTAGAATAAAGACGACGACCAATCTCAAACGAAACAAAAGCATCAACAGTTGCATACTTAACCTGCTCGGCATTAAGCCAAACATTATCCCATCTACTCATAGAAACCCTCTTCGGTTTCTGAACACTTTTCCCAATCACATGTCGCGCCAAAGATTTAATACCCGTCCTCAACATCTCCCGATCATTCAACACATCAGCAGCGAGGTTTCGTAAATCAACGAAATTCACTACGTTTATATTATAATCTTCTAGAAGCTTCTTTACATCAGCTCCAATTCCAACTCCGACGAATCTGTTGTTAGGGTTGGCGAGGAAGGTCAGGAGGGAATCAGGGATGAAGGGGGAATGAAGGATTTGGAAAACGAGGCAGCGGTTGTTGATGCAGAGTTGGAGGACGGCGGCTGGGTTAGATTGGCCGCGTTGGAAGTTAGGGCGCCATTCGATATCGAGGCCGATGAGGAGGGGGGAGGGGGAGGGGAGGCGGAGGGTTTCGAGGAACCAGGTGTCGACTATGGAGGGAGTTGAGGTTAGGAGAGTTTGGATGGTGAGATTTGAATCAAAAGTGATGTCGTAGATGTTGTGGGTGTCGTATGTGAGAGAGTGGTCAACGACGGTGATGACAAAGGGTTGTTGTGGTGGTGGTGTGGGCGTGGGGGTGGCGATAAGCGAGCCGTTGCGGTCTCTACGAATAGCTGGCATTCTGAGTTACTAAGAAGAGGAAGAGGCCGGACTTTGAAATTTTAGGAAGGAGTGTTGTGTCATGTGTGAGGGTGTGAAATATAATGGTGAAAGTGATACTTTATTAAACCAAAGATAGTGGCATTATATAGCCTTACAAAATAACATAAGCAAGCTAAAAACTAAGAAAGAGACTCCATTACACTTAAAATTTAGGAAACAAACTTATTCAGCTAAGACAGATTCAAACTCCAACATACCCTCCCTTAAGCTTAACTTTCCTGAATTAAGCTTACTTCAGACAAGTTAACAATTTCAAGTAATGTTCTCAGCTTCTCGAACCGCTCCAGCTTCAACGGCTTCGTAAAGATATTCGCAACTTGGTTTTCTGTTGCACAATACTCCAGCTTAACAGTTCCGCCATTCACCAGCTCTCTGAGATAATGAAACCTTACTTCGATATGCTTACTTTTCCCGTGAAGGACTGGATGTTTGGACAAAACAATCGTCGAACTGTTGTCACAATGAATGATGGTTGCAGACTCTTCTTCAGCTCCAATCTTCTCTAAGATCCTTCTAATCCACACACATTGACAAGCACAAAAGGCAGCGGCAATATATTCGGCCTCAGTGGTGGAAAGGGCGTCAACAGGCTGCTTTTTCGATGCCCAAGATATCGCATTGGACCCTATAAAAAACACACAACCTGTTGTGCTTCTCCGGTCATCCAAATCGTCGGCGTAGTCGCTATCCATGAATGCCATAAGTCTCGTACTGCTGCTTTCACTTCTCATATAGAAGATTCCAAGTTCGATTGTACCTTTTAAGTATCTTAAGATCCTTTTCGCCGCAAGCCAATGTGACATCGTTGGATTTGCCATGAATCGACTTATGAGACTGTTAGCTCCTAAATTCGACGCCTCAGCTAGAAAGAAAGTTTCCTAAGAAAAGGTGGAGAATGCCTTGAATACAACAAAATGGTCGAAAGGAGGAAGAAGCTAAGTCGAAAGACCCACCCCGAAGCCAAGGGTTCGACCGCCTGCCAATAACGAATGGTGCGTCGAAGTATTTGAAATTTGAATGTTGGAGGGAACGGTTTTGCTTGTGGAAAATGGAGGGAGACGCGTGTCACCTTATGAATGATGGATCCATGCATTTAAGACAAGTGGCGAAAGGAGATTATGTTGGAAGTTATTAGAGGTTATTTTTTGTTACTATAAATAGAGTGTCTTAGACACATCCAAGGTGTGTTGTAATTTACTATTTGTGCAAGTCACTCCTAAATTTACTCAAAGTATCCGAGTGTAGAGAAAAGAGTATCAAGGAGAATGTACGTGATGTAAACACACCATCTTTTAAACTTAATGCAATTTACTTGTTTTTACTTTAAGTTTTACAAAATCTTTTATTGCCTTTATTGTCTTTAACCTTTTTTCTTTTTACCTTACTTCTCTTCTTTTCTCTTCGCCCTCAAACTAAATTCACCTTTACCAACAAACTTTCTTCTTTTTATTAGAAGCCTTATTTTACCTGCAAATTAACCCGTAGTCGAATAGATGTTCTTTTAGGATTCTGTTTATCCCAACCTTATTCGAGTGTGGAACTTGGATAAAAGTCTTAAAACCAAAAAACAAAATAAATCTTTTAGCACATGTCCTAGGATCAATCTGATCGATCCTGTGAGTCACCAAAGTTAGATTTGGAAGATCAGCGGTTGTTTTCCAATTTTCAAGGGAAACAGAGACATACTCCATACATTAAATCCGGCCTGGTAAGTGTTAGATACATAAGACTCCCAACCAATTGCTTGAACATAGTCGCATCCACCTTCTCGCTATTCTCATCTTGTGTGAGCTTCGTTCCCGGCACAATTGGATTTTTAACAACATTGCTTTCTTCCATTCCAAACCTTACTAAAACTTCACGAGCATACCGTTTTTGACAAATAAAAATCCCATTAACACTCTGCTTCACCTCTACCCTAAGAAAATGTTTCATTTTTCCCAAATCTGACATCTCAAATTCCATCATCATCGACTTCTTAAACTCATCACACATAGCTCTATCATTTCCAATGAATATTAAGTCATCAACATACAAGCTGATAATGAGAATTTTACCTCCTTTCGTCTTGGTAAATAGAGTATGCTCGCTCGGACACCTCTTAAACTCCTCATTCAGGAAATATCCTTCAATACGACTGTACCAAGCTCTCGGGGCTTGTTTGAGCCCATACAATGCCTTCATCAGCTTGTACACTTTCTCCTCTTCTCCTTTCTTTATGAATCCCTCCGGTTGTTGCACATACACATTCTCTTTTAGTTCCCCGTGTAGAAACGCACACTTGACATCTAATTGGAAGATTTCCCAATTTGATTGTGCTGCAACCGCAAGTATAGTTCGAATCGTATCGAGCCTCGCCACCGGAGCAAAGACTTCGGTATAGTCTATGCCATAACACTGAGCATATCCCTTTGCCACCAACCTCGCCTTGTATTTGTCGAATTTACCATCTTCATTCAGCTTTGTTTTATACACCCATTTCACTCCAATTGGTGTCAAACCTGCAGGTAAGATAGTTAGCTCCCATGTGTTGTTTTTCTCGATCGATTCGATCTCGTTTTTCATTGCTTTTCTTCACATCTTGTCTCTCACTGCTTCTTCGAATTTGACTGGATCATTTTCTGTCATCATCATCAATAGCATAACTGATAAGCTTTCTTCCTCATCTTCTCCTTCACCCGTGACATAATCAGCCAAATAACTCGGTGTTCTCCTTATCAGCGGGCCTGTAACCACTTCTCTTTCAATCAATCTTGATGGAGATGAAGAAATTGGACTGGACAGAAGAGAGACTGGGCTTGGCGGTGTCGAATTACCACCAGTTGCGAAAGACGAAGACAAACCAGAAGGCGACAAATTCGCGGTTGACGGAGGACAAGCCATATCACCTTCTCTCTCTTCTGTATTCTGTTCTTCTTCTCCATAATCAAGTATTTTCTCTTTTACACCGGTTTGATTCCAATCCAAGCTTTTGTCTTCATCAAACACTACATCTTTGCTTATCATGATCGTTTTCGTAACCGGATCATACAGCCTTTATGCTTTCGATTCCTCACTGACTCCGAGAAAAACACATTTCTTGCTTTTGTCATCTAGTTTTCTCCTTTTCTGATCAGGTATGTGCGTATATGCTATGCACCCAAAGACACGAAAATACTCCACCTCAGGTTTTGAGCCGCTCCAAGCTTCTTCAGGTGTCATGTCTTCTACTGCTGCTGTTGGAGGTCGATTCTGGATGTGCACACTCCATCTTGTAGCTTTAGACCAAAACTCCTTTGGGACTTGCCTCTCACTCAGCATAGATTGTACCGCATTCATTATCGTTCTATTCTTCCTCTCTGCCACTCTGTTTTGTTATGGCGTAAATGCAGTCGTCAATTGTCGGGTGATACCATGAGTTTTACAAAACTCTCTGAATTCATTAGACGTGAATTCCCCTCCGCGGTCTGTCCTCAGGCAAGTGATGAAGGTTCCAATCTCCTTTTCAACACTTGCTTTGAAAGCCTTGAAGGTGATGAGTGCCTCCGATTTTTCACGGAGAAAATAAACCTAAGTTTTTCTAGTGAAATCATCAATGAAACTCAAAATGTATCGCTTTCCGCTGTGTGAAATTGGTGTAATCGGACCACATATATCCGAGTGCACCAGCTGCAGCTGTCTCGATGCACGCCAGAGGCTCCTTTTTGACATTGATGCTCTGTGTTGCTTTCCAGTCAGACACACCGCACATATCTCCTTCGTGGACCTCAACATCGGCAGCCCAATAACCATCTTCTTTTGTGCAAGTTGTTTTAGAGCTTCTTGGTTTAAATGCCCAAAATGGCGATGCCACAGATTCGTCTCCTTCTCGATCACCTCTTCTGTCTTCAAGCACATCGTGTTTTTCTGCAATTTGGATGTTAGAAGAAACAACATCCTATTTTCACTCATATTAGTCTCCATAATAGCATCTTTCTTGGGATGATATACTTTGCAGGTTCCATCACGAATCAAAATTGCCAAGCCTCTCTCCTGCAATTGTCCAAGGCTTAGTAAATTGTTCTTGAGCTCCGGGACATAATAAACTTCAGGTATGACTTGGGTGACTCTGTTAACTTGTACTTTCACGCTTCCTTTTCCCACCACCGACATTCTTGTGTCGTTTCCAAGTTTCACAGATCGATTGAGACCTTCTTCCAAATTAACAAACCAATCTTTGCATTCGGTCATATGATTGCTGCAACCGGAATCAAGGAACCAGACTTCTTCTCTTTTTGCCCGATGTTTCTCAAGATAAGACATCAAGAGCAACTCTTCTTCTTCTTCTTCTTCTAGTTCAGCATAATTTGCCTTCTTTTCCCATTCGGGACACTCGTTCTGATAGTGCCCTAACTGGTGACATTTGTAGCACTCGATAATGGCACGACCGACTGCGTTTCTTCCTCTTCCTCTACCGTGTCCTCCTCATAACATTCCGTGACCTCTTCCTCTACTAGGTCTTTCATCTTGAGATACTTTTAGTGCCAGCTCTTCTTGCACATATCCATTCAATCGCTGCTCATGGACAAGTAGGCTGCCATGTAATTCATCGATACTCATCGTGCTCAGATCATTCGATTCCTCAATCGAACATACCACATAATTGAATCTCGAGGTTAGCGATCTGAGAATTTTGCTCACGATCGTGCTCTGCTCCATTGATTCACCATTCACCTTCATCTTGTTCACCACCGTCAACGCTCTTCCTAGGAAAATGTTGATCTTCTCTCCTTCTTTCATGGCCAGCAATTCAAACTCCCTTCTCAAAGCTTGCAATTGCGCCCTTTTCACCTTTGTAGAGCCTTGATACTTCTTTTTCATGGATTCCCAGATTGCCTTAGAGGTACCTTTGTCAAGAATAGTTTCCAGAATTTCTCTGTCAATGGACTGGAACAAAAAATTCTTGACCTTCAAATCCTTCAACTTTGCCTCTTCTACAG